TCTATCTGCATGTAGGACATAATATTTAAAGAAAATCTTGGTTATTTTTGTTGCATTTAATGCCTTGTATATTTATTTCCCTCTCATTTCCTCCCCCTCACCCTATTTAATAAAGTCACTGACACATTTATTTAATCTGAGGTTCTTTCTCAGGGTAAAATTTAACAGACTGGGTAAAGCACAAAATCTTCTCATCATTTTCTTCTAATGAATACAGCTCTCCTCCTACCTGTGTATTTCAGATTGTTTCTCAGAGTGGTGTGAAAATCTTGGCAGTTTGAGTAATTACAAAAGGATCAGATGATACCAGTTAAAGAAAAGGAGAAGGTTCAACCTGTGTGGAAGAGTTGCTAGTTCCTTTTTGTTCATGTTTTTTTTTTTTTTTTCCATGCCCTCTCTTTCCTGAACTCCATTATTCACCTTTACTAGGCACAGGACTGTGTATATGAACCAGAGAGGGTCTTTGACCTAAATATTTCATTTACATTTTTCTTGGCTTTTTTTCCCCCCCTTTTTTTTTTTTTTTTTTTTTTTTTACTATTTGTGAAAAATCAAGAGTTATGTTTTAAGCTATTTTAACAGTCTTTAACATCTTAAGACCACTCGCTCCTGTTATTTTGGCCACATGACTTGTGTTTGGAGGATGAAAAACACAGTAATAATTACCTTCTTTGCACATATATTGATGTATGGAAGGCAGAGAGTGTAGAAAGAAGAGTGAAATCAGGCTTTGCAACTGGAGATGAGCCATCTCCAGCCCTCCAAAGGTAGAGAGCAGTAAAAAATACCTTCACAGGAATTGGAACTATTCCTATTTTCTTCTCGACCCTTCAGCAGGCCCTAACTAACTCGGCTGTGGAGCATTTCAGGGGAAGCTGCAGTCAGAGACATCAACCCCTGCTGTCTGGTATTTTTTCTTTCTCCTCCGGGTTTGTTTGGATCAAGTGCTGATTGAAATGAGGACAATCCTAGGTCTGGTTCTGATGCAGTAAGAGCAGGATTAGGTGCCTAGAGTGAACGCAGTGCCTGTGCTGATAGCACGCGCCGGTGTTACCGCTACTGATTTGTGGCTCGTTCCTAGTTTGAATTTTCTGTGACCTGCAGAACCCTGGGGAGTGTCTCAAGCTTCGCTGTGCTCTGAGGGCCTCTGAACCCGATTCCTGGCACAGCTTCCTTGTGCTCATCCCTGTCTCAGGAGCGTGACCTCCCACCAGGGCAATAGCTGCCAGCCCGTGTGCTCACAGCTGTGCACACGGAGATGCCCATTAGTTCTCAAATTCTCCAAGCAGGACTTACTTGAAGTACATCCCACTCCAGGCTGTGGTGCCACGATGAAAGCCAGGCCTGTGTTTTACACTGCCTCTTGCTGAGCATGCAGCTCCTCTGCTCTGCTCTGGTGTAGAGACAACCCTCTCTCCCGGGGGAGGTTTCTGTCACCGCTTCTGAGGGCGCTCGCTGGAAGCTCTCCCCGAGCGGAGCACAGTGTCACCACACCGCTCTGTGCCACCCAGGGGGGATTTTGTTGTGTGATTCGGTGCAAGCAGGTGTCACCTCTGGCAGCAGGAAGGGCTCGGCTCTTTCAGCACTCCATCCTCTCCTGATGTATGGAGTGTTTATGTTCAGATCCCTCCCGCAGGAGGCCGGAGTGCAGGACCGCGGCACGTGGGCTGCAAAACAAGGGGACAGCCCCTGAACACCACACAGACCTACCGGTCGGACATGGATTATTGCTTATTTTACTACAGGGAAAGTGGAGCTGAAGGATACAGTGTAGAGTTAACACAACATTTTTAAACTGTGTTCACCTTGGGAGGCTGAAAAAAATTACAGTCTTGATAAACCTTGGAGGCCATGAAGCAACTGCTGGGGTAAAAAAGACTGATCAACCTTTAATGTGATAAGCTCAGTGGGAAAGGCAACTAACATCTTTCCTCCAGTATGGATTTTTTTTGCCTTTTATTTATTGTTTTTTCAGAACAGCAGCTAATGCCTCATGCCTGAAAGGGCCCTTTTAAGTGGAACTGGCTGTTTCAGATGTTCTCAAGCCAATCCCCTATGGCCAAGTAAGCCACATTATTAAGTATCATTATTAAAATATTCCTACTGTTAATGGTAGCCTGTGTTTTAGTGATGAACAGCAGTTCTTTGGAATATAAGTAGTGTAAGATTGCATTAGAACAAAACCATTGTAAAAGCTGATGCTGCAAAGAAACATGCAGGGCTGCTACTGCTGTTTTCAGTCAGATCACTTCTGTATGTAAAAATTACTTCAAAACACATAATCTCGCTACCTTTAATCCACCTGGGCCCCTGGGTCGGGATCATTTTAACTGAAAGGATCTCTCAATATTTCTCATGGGTTGTGTCTAGTAAATGAGGCTTGAAGACGGGTTCCCTCCCCCAGCCTGTTGCAGCTGCACGAACAGGAGAATGATTTACCTGCCCCGGCCCTCTGCCTTTACCTTGCTGCTGTCTGTTCTGTGTGAAGCACTTCAGAAATGAAGGGTCAGCAGGACTACTATGGGAAAATTCAACCCAGATGGCTAATGTTTGCCAAAGTTGAGGAGCAAAATGTCTCGGCAGGGAGAGGGCCAGTGACGCTGGCGATGGGACTGGGCCGCGTGCCCAGGGGCACACGTGCTCAAAGACAGACTGGACATGATTTCTCACTGAAGGAGAAAGAAGGGAAAAAAAATGCTCATGGATCTCTTGTTTGGGTTTTTTTAATCATTAAGTAAGTAAGTGTAACAAAACCAAGCAACCATGAATGAGAAAACTGTACACATAACATTCAGTAGCTTCAGCCACGTTGTGAATGAGAAAACTGTACACATCATAACATTCAGTAGCTTCAGCCACGTTAGGCTATAACTAAACTACATGAATTGACCTCAGTACTTGTTCTCTCCTTACCCCTGTAAGATTCATACGTAGTGCAGCTCTGAGCCACTGCTCGGAGGCAGTAGCAACATTTAGTTACCTTCAGTGGGAAGGGGGTTAGGCCCAACATCACTGAAACTGTTCAGTAAAAGACCTGCTTATACTTTCTGACTCTGCTTTAACTTCCTGCCTCTCTGCTTGTGTCCACTGTTCATGGCACCTTGAGTGGTTAAATTTTTTTTTCAACTACTAAGAAATCTCTGAAAGTTCCTTTTGACACAACAACTGCTTATTTCAAAGACTAGTATTTGATTCAGATGTAAGAATTACATTATCAAAAGTGTGCAAATTAAGTTTATAACCTAATCATTTAACTTGATAGTGCAAGTATGAAACTAGTGGACCAAAAAAAATTTCTTAGAGAGGACAATTCAGTTCAATCATCAGTATCTCAGAAGAACTCCTCGGTAAGTCTTCTTCAGAAGAACATTTTGTTTTATAGTAACAGATAGATCCCATGAAGGAGGAAAAAAAAAAAGTGTTTATAATTCATTGTGTTGAAGACCTTGAGAAATTCTGCTGGACAAGTCTTGCAAGTGTTTCTTTACCTAAGAGGAAAGAAAAAAAAAATCAAAGAAATGGTACTAAACAAATAAATAGTGCTTAACAAACAAACAAAATCAGTATTTTATGTTCAGATTTTCTTATCAGAGTATGTGATAATATGAAAAGCTGAGACCAGGGACATAGCAGGTGTTTTATAAGAGGAGTATAAAAACCAGTTGTGCTTATGAAGGCGCACAGTGGATTTGTCTTCAGTCGCTCCCCCTGCCCAGCCCCTTCAGCCAGTCTGCACAGCAGAGCTGCTCCGCAGCCCCCCAGCAGAAAGGGGGAGGCAGGAACCTTGGCCCGGGCTCGCGGCTGCCGAGCAGCCCCGGAGGGGGATGTAAGGGGCAGCCCCTGCAGCAGCTGCACGCGCTGAACCCGAGTTTGTCACACGCTGCCACAGCACCGGGGTGGCCTCGGGGACAGCTGCCGCTGCTCTGCATCCCGCGGTGCAGACAGCACCTCCTGCAGCAGGGCCGCGTGGAAGAAGCGCCTGGCAGAGCAACAGGGGCCAGCCAGCTCCCCCCGGGGTAAGGCTAGGGTTAGACCTACACGCAGACCAAACGCAGCAAAACCAAGGCCCTGCAGCAGCGTGGTAACAACGGGAGCAGAGCCCACCCCGTGCTGCAGGACCCGGTACAGACCCACCAGCTCCTGGGCGGTCTCTGCTGCAGACATCTCTGCACGGCCCTGCACAGCACACACCTAACCCTGTGTGTCCCCAGCGGTCTGGAAATAATACCACTTGTTCCCTTTCACTTCTTCCCTTTTTAATTAAATCATCTATGGGGTTAGAGCTTGTTCCAACTACAGTACTCAACATGACAAGAACTCAAATTTTTACTTAAAATTATAAACATGAACCATCAGCACATCAGAAAATTCACATTTTCTCTATTACTCAGTTTTAAGCACACATAAGTACACTGGGTTTATACAGACCTTGTATCCGAGTTCTTTTGTCTTTTCTTCCAGCATGGCATATTTCTCTTTGTTTCTGCTCAGATGTTCCTTATCTCCCATTTCCGCTACATGCTTCAGTTTCTGGTGTGAAATCTCCAATTGCTTCTGGTAGTGATGATGCTTTTCAATTTTTGCTTCAAAGTGTTTCAGCTCCTCCTAGGAAAACAAATACAGCTTAACAGTATTCTTTTTCCAAGGCTTCCTTTTTGTCTCTTTTCTGTGTGAGACATGCTTAATGCTAATGTTTTAATTATTCTGGCACGAGAAGCCTTCTCAGTGCTCTGTTTCTTAAGCATGCCCGGACAATACATTATCAATACAGAGATCATCACTAGGCAGCCAATTTTGAGAGCAATGCTGAGCAGCAACCCACTTCTTAAGGGACCTCCAGAGGAGACTGATGATGGCTATAAAGGATTAGGAGATGACAGCAGTGGGTACCAAAGAAAAGCTTATGTGTAAGTGGGGGAAGGTACAAAACAATTTACGAGAGGCCTCTTTTCAAAATTAGTTCCTGGATTTGCTGGTTTTTTTTTGATCAGGCATCAACATTTTCCTGTTCAATTTATTCATCAATGACCTGGATGAAGGCACAGATTGCTCCCTCAGCAAGTTTGCTGATGATACCAAATTGGGAGGAGTAGCTGATACTCCAGAGGGCTGCGCTGCCATCGAGAGGGACCTGGACAGACTGGACAACTGGGCTGTGAAAAACCTCATGCAATTCAACAAGGCCAAGTGCAAGGTCCTGCACCTGGGGAGGAATAACCCCAGACACCAGTACAGGCTGGGGACCGACCTTCTGGAGAGCAGCTCTGCGGAGAAAGACCTGGGTGTCATGGTGGACGACAAGTTGACCAGGAGGCAGCAGTGTGCTCTTGTGGCCAAGAAGGCCAATGGGATCCTGGGCTGCATTAAGAAGAGCATCTCTAGCAGGTCGAGGGAGGTGATCCTGCCCCTCTACTCAGCCCTGGTG